TCCATTACTTTTACAGGTTTTACTTGGAAATCTCGGACATGTTGCTTACTTGCTTTAGGTTTGAGGGGTTTCTTTTTCCCTGGTCCTTCCCAGAGAAGGGGTAGACCGCTTGGGTCCAGGCAGATCACGCAGTTGTTTTCCACCTTGTTCCATCTGAGGGCTTCATCTTCTGTCGACAGGTATCCTTTTTTAGCATATTCCAATGTTTTCAGAGCCCTACCTGCCCAAAGCTCTGAAGTTGTTCTTCTTAGGATGACTCCCCCAGTGGCCATTCTAATAAAGGGGAGTGTGGTACTTGGTTCTTTGGCCATACTCCGGTTTCTGGTTTTAACTTAGCTAGGAATTGGCTTCAGTTGCTCTATTCCTTGGATCCCTTTCTTTTCTAATTCGACTGTGTTTTTGTCTAACAGTCTCTTTACTCTGTCTGTGGTGTTGTATTTGGGCCTCACTGCCACTCCTGACGTGTGATCCTGTGCTCTGACCCACACCTTCTGCCCCACCTTGAATGTGGTTTCAGGGTCTGGTTGTTTCTCCTTATCATCGGGGCCCCACCCAGTTTCCTGCGTGGTGCACTGTCGTTGGTTAAGCTCCTCTAAAGGAGAGGGTCTACCATCTCGACGCCTGTCATTCAAGGCCTGTCCTATTTCCACAGCTTTAGTGCTCCATTCTTTGGTATTAACATTTTTAGTTATCCAATTTTTGACTAAACCTGTGGCTCTTTCGGCCACCCCGTTGGCCTGAGGTGTGTAGGGAGGTGAATACACACGCATTACCCCAAAAGTCTGACACCAGTGATCCACTTGTGCATTGCGAAAATGCATTCCATTATCAGTTCTCAGTTCCTTTGGAACGCCTAATGACCCACAGACTTGCTCTAGCATGCTAACAACACTGTTGCCATTAGCTTTTCTTGTTGGCTTCACTACCACATACCCTGACATTGAGTCTGCTAGCACTAGAAGGTATTTCTCTCCCTTCTTGCCCATGACTCCCATAGGCCCAGCTATATCCATGCACACTGAGCCCAGGGAAATGTGCTTTTTATAGTTTGCCCACCCACTCGGTGCCCTCGCAGTCCTGCGTTGTATGGACCACATACTTCGCAGTCCTGTAGCACCTTGCAGACTTGTTTTAAAGGGACCTAGAGTTCCTGACTCTCCAACTCCTTACGTGTAGGTTGTACACCCACATGACCTAGGCCTTCATGCACGCCCCGTACAACCTCTACCATGTACTCTTCTGGGACCCTCCGACCTTCAGAGGTTCTGTGTAACCCGGGTATAGATTTTAAATTTCTATTCTGTCATTTCACT